CTGCTACTGAAAGTTAATATAATGTAAGGGGATTATAATGTCAACAGTAAAGCATTATAGGTACATTGAGGTTAAGAGAGTGTTCTGGTCTTTGATAAGTTCTCAGCTGTGGTTCATAAAAATAAAAGAGCTTATCAAAGAAGATAAAGTTGTAGCTGTAGTGCCACTACAAAAGAATAACTGAAGAAGAAGAAATACAACATATAACTGCCCGATGTATGAAAGCAAGAGATGTTGATGACATAGAAAGTTATATGGAAAAGAATGACAAAGTTATAGTTAGAAATCAAGTCTTTGAAAAGAGCAATGAAAATATAGCATTGTGGTTTCAGAGATTTTACATGGGAGAGCAGAAATGTCCAAAAGAGAATATATATATAAAAACATATAGACTTAAACTAACCAGAAGGGAAATCACACCATGAAAAAGTGAAAATCACACCATGAAAAAGTGAAAAAAAAAATTTAGAAGAGGGAAATTAGAATTGAAAAATAAATTAATTTTTTGCATAGAAATCATAGCTTTTAAAAAATGTATGTCAAAAATTGAACTAATGTTTTATATTCCTGTTTTGCTACTATTGCAGTTATTTCCTTAGTGGCATTATCTTCACTACTCCCAATAACCAAAGCCAGAAACCAGGGAGTCATCCTCATCCCCTCCCCTACTCTTCCCCTATCCCCTAACTTACATTAATTAACCACCATATCAGGTTGTTTCTATCACCTAAGAATCTCATGAGTCTGCCCTCCTCTCTACATTACACTTATACCTTAATTTGGTCCCCCAACTCTAACATAGATTATTACATTAGTGTCTACCTGCTTTGAGCCCATCCTCCACACGGCTGCCAGAGTAATCTTCCTAAAACACAAATCTCAACAGCGAAAGGTCCAACATACACTAATTCAGTCTATTTCCTGCACCAGTGATTCTAATGCTTTTAGATTTCTAAAATAATGTTTCAAAAAATAAATATATTGTGTTAAGGACAGTGATGTAGTTTGGATAGTTGTCCTCTCCAAATCTCATATTAAAATTTTACCTCCAATGTTGGAGGTGGGGCCTGATGGGAGGCGTTTGGGTCATGGGGGCAGATCCCTCATGAATGGCTTGGGCTTGGTGCCATCCTCATGGTAATGAGTAAATTCTTTCTCTATTCCTTCCCAGGAGATCTTGTTGTTTAAAAGAGCCTTATTGTTTAAAAGAGCCCCCATCTTTCTTACTCTCTGCCATGTGACACACTTGCATCCTTTCCCAATGTCAGTGAAAAAAGAACATTATTGTTCTGATTAAAGCTTAAAAACCTGTCATCATATTGTAGAAATTTACATTAAATGTAAGATCCCCAGAAATTAGATAGAAATGCAAACGATACAGAAAATATGATTTTAGAACAATATTATCCTTTTTAAAAATGTATTCTATGTAAAATTAGTCCTCTGAGATGATCAGAGTTATCATTTAAAAAAAAATGAAGTTGGTGGAACAGACATCTTGCTACATGTATGAATGAGACAATGAATGCACATAGAGGAAACAAGATTTAGAATTTGAATTTCAATTTTGCATGTTTGAGAAGCTATAATAAAGTAATTATTTTAATTTTTCAAGTCCTAGAGTGCTCTTTTGCTGTGACCTGTGCCAAGTCAGGGCTACATGTTAAGTTGGTTTTATACGGGTTACATACATTAACCATTACTTTTTGGTTAGAAGAAGAACATTTTATTTAATTAGAGCCATCATTTCTTTCCAGGAGGAATAATTATTCAAAATAATTTTGAGTCAATTTGCTACATACATAAGAAATTATATATTTCTAAATGATACATCACAAAATTGAAAAGAAACTTGTATTATTATGACAGTGAGAGGCATAGGGGCTAAAAAACTTAAAATAATAGTATAGTAGAGATAAAACACATGAAACAACAAAATGGGAAGTATCAACTTATCAGACTTCAAACTTTATTATAAGGCTGTAGTAATCAAA